AACCTTCATCTTAGTAACATAGCGGATATTTAATAAATATACATTAAGTGAATAAACTAATTAATTAATGAGCTTAACAACCAACTTAGAAGTTTAAAATAAAGATACCCAGAAGCCAATGGAAAGGCTAGAAATGCACTTGAAGCTAAAGCAAAAGATTTGGTATTTACCTGTATAGATTAATATGGATGATATTACCAATAAACAGAAGAGGAGGAAGAGGAGGAGGAGGCAGAGGAGAGAAATAATCCCAGAGACAGGAGTGGAGGGGACAAGACAGATTCTTGCAGACTATATTTATGTAGGGAATGGCAGGTGGAAGAAGACACAGAGAAGGTGCAGTAAGAGAACAACCAGGAGAGATAAATAAGAGTCATGCAAGCCAATGTGAGTGTTGGAGAGAGACGCTCCAAGAAATGGGGAGGATCACATCAGGGGCCTGAGTAGGTGCTCAGCATTGTGGTCTGTGAATGTGGCCAATCATCTTTCCAGAAGTTTGGCAATTGCCTGAAGGAGAAATGGGAAATATGGGAAAGCTAAAGAGAATGGCAGGATCAAGAGAGACTTGGGTTTGCATGGGAAAAAAATAGTATGTTGGCAGGCTAAAATGAAGGGACTTGTGAAGACAGAGATATTAACAAATGTTAGTGGAGGTGGGTGGGGGGCCAGTTAATGGATTCTACAGTGTTTCAGGATGTGAACAAGGGATTAAGTAGAAGGATTAGAATGGAATAGGAGGAATGATGTGGAAGTGGGGGAGAAGTTGGATAAAGAGGTAGGGAAATTTTTAGAACAGGAAGTAATAAGAAAAGCTGAGGGAGTTTGGACTCTGACATTCCTTTTTTAATCTACCCACAAGAACTAGGCTTTCTACAGTATTCCCTATGGTGTTCTATATGTTCTTGGCAAATTGACATTCAGCTTACGTCTACCAGCACAAAGCAGTTTGATTGCTATATCAAGGCATGAGAATAATAACGTGGATTTGTGTGTGCTGTTCCCCTCTCAAAATAAAAAATAAAACAAGTTTGCCAGACCAGTTCCTTTCACTTTCCTCCAACATTAGAATTAAATGTTTACTTTTATATTTTTCCAATGACTGTGTCGTTTTAGCATTAAGTAGCAAAGAGAAGTGTCATCATTTTGGATTTAATTTCTTTTGTATGCTTGTATAATAATTTAGCTGAGTCTACAAGATTTTTGTTTTAATTTGACAAGTCTTTAGACATTTATCTTTGTATCATTACCGTCTTCTTCTTCAGACAAGTTCTGCATTTCTTAGTGGCATTGTTAGTAGAGAGTATTAATTGCACCTAGAAGGATGTGCACAAATATTTTTACCTAAGAAATGGCTGGGCATGGTGGCTCACATCTATAATCCCAGCACTTTGGGAAGCTGAGGAAGGGGGATCTCTTGTGCCCAGGGGAGTGAGACCAGCCTGGGCAATGTGTCAAAACCCAGTCTCTACAAGACACAAAACAATTAGTCGCGTGTGATGGCACACTTTTGTAGTCCCAGCTCTCCAGAGGCTGAGGCGAGAGGATCGCTTGAGCCTGGGAAGCTGAGGATGCAGTGAGCCGTGATGGAGCTATTGCATTCCAGCCTGGGTGAGAGTGAGACCCTGTCTCAAATAATAATAACAATAATGATACTCAATACGAAAACACTATCAAGCAGGTGCTAAAGTAGAAACTGAAAAAGAAAAATGCACTTTGTGTACTATATTTTCAGATCTTTGAACAATATGCACCTTAGCTATGATGTTTATACATTGTAAAGGCCAGATGGAGAGATAATCATTTACTTTTTCACAATATTACAACAAAAATAATGAAATGAATGTAGAAGGCTAATTTCCACGTATTTGATAGTTAAAGTGCTGAATGGAGCTTATGGGTCCCTTAGATGTTAATTATATGTCCTCACATAAACTTACCAATCAAACCAGTGGCTTCTGAAACTGTAAAGTTGACTATGACAGGAGAGCTCAGTTAGAAAACTCAAAATGATAAAGTAGAAGAAGATGCAATATTCTTAAGTGGAGTAGGATTTGAAGTCAGAATACCTATGGTTCATGTGTGTGGCTTTTCTCTGTGCTTTACTTTTCTCGTCTGTCTACAGGAACTTATTTCTGTGATTAACTAAACTGTAGTTTATTTAGAAGCATTTTCTTTAAATTGTATGAATTCCATTTACTCATTCGCTTATCCACTCATTCAACAAGTATTTTCTGAGGAACTACTAAGGGCCAGGTCCTGGGCTAGACTCTGAAATGGTCCACAGGTTGATAAGAGCAAGACATGAAGGGCCTTCCTTAAAAGGCACTGAGGAGCAAGTGATAAGATTTGCCTTGCAGAGAGACTGTCCCAACATAATGACAACAGCAACCAGAAGACAGACTGCTTTCCTTCATATGGCATCTGCTCCATTACATATAATTTAAAAAATACAATTTAAAAAAAAAGTTTAGGCTGGGCGAGGTGGCTCACACCTATAATCCTAGCACTTTGAGAGGTTGAGGCAGGCAGATCACCTGAGGTCAAGAGTTCAAGACAAGCCTGGCCAACATGGTGAAACCCCATCTCTACTAAAATACAAAAAATAGCTGGGCATGATGGAGGATGCCTGTAATCCCAACTACTTGGGAGGCTGAGATGGAAGAATCGCTTGAACCCATGAGAGGGTGGTTGCAGTGAGGCAAGATTGTGCCACTGCACTCCAGCCTAGGCAGCTGAGAGAGACTCTGTGTCAAAAAAACAAAAGCAAATAACTTTTAGTATCTTGTTATATTCTCTGGGGCAGCCATGTGTCCTGGGTTTTCTGGGATAGACCTAATTTCAAATATCATGTCCATTATTCCTAAAAGTACACTTATATCTGTCACACTTGCCAAATGATGCCAACTGAACTCCTTCAAATGCCCAAGGAGAAGGGGAGGCCTTGTCAGCTTGAAGTTCTTTGTAGGCAGACTCATGTCTTATTCCAAAAAGAGAGGCAAGAATTGTAGGAGTAAAGCAATCAGGGGAAGTAGCACAGCAGGTGAGTTGCTGGAGAACAAAGGGCAAAATGAGGGGTTGGTAAGCTCCCACCATGGGGGCATTTGTAGCCAGAACACCAGTGATTTTCTGCCATAAAGTTGAAAAGTACTGTTTGGTCCAATCAGCAGTTAGTTGAAAGTAGTATGTCAACGGTAATCATGTAAATGACTTACTTGATTACATGAATTATTCGGTTAACTGAGTGGAGAAAAAGGAGTGAAGTTATAGCCAGTGTGCACATCACCTGGGCACTCCGATAAGTCATCGTCCCACAGTGAACTCAGCCTATATGTGCTATGCAGAAATATTGGGAACCACTGCTGAGGTGACAAAGGACAAGAAGGATTTCTTAATGGAGAGAGAGATGGTGAAATCTGCATTCCAGAATGGTCACTCAGATACTGGAGGAGGGCAAGACCTGTTAGGAGGCAGCTGAAATAGTCAGATGAGAGATGGGGGATGATAAAGAACTGAATTAAGGCAGTGGAAGCTGATAAGAAAAGTAGAGGACAGATAGGAAAAATAGGAAGTGTTCCCCCCGACTTTGTGTTCACCCAGACCCATGAATGTGATGCTATTTACAAATAGGGTTTTTGCAGATGTAATAATGTTAAGATGAGGTCATACCGGATTTGGTTGGGCCCTAATTCCAATATGACTGCTTTGTTCTTATAAGAAGGGAGGAAATTCGGACACAGAGACAAAGACACAGGAAAGAAAGCTATGGGCCAACAGAGGCAGAGATTGAAATGCTGCAGCTGCAAGACGAGGAAAGCCAAGGATTGCCAGTAACCACTTGAAGCTAGGAGGAAGCAAGGGCAACCCTCTCCCTAGGGCCTTCTCAGACAGCATGGCCCTGCCAATGCTTTCATTTTGAACTTCTAGCCTCCAGTGAAAAATACATTTGTGTTGTTAAAAGCTACCAAGTTCATTGTAATTGATTATAGCAACCCTAGGAAACTAACATAGGAAGTAAAATGAGGAAGACTTAGTGATTGTTTAGATAGGAATGGAGAGGGAGAATGTTGAATATGGGGAATGAATGGATGTGGTGAAATCCACCAAGCAAGAACATAGAGTAAGGATCAGCAAACTACAGCCCTCATTCCAAATCTACCTTCTACCTACCTGCCCCTCACATTTTTGTTCAAGTTTTATTGGAACACAGCCATATCCACTAGTGTATTGCCATACCTGTTTTCCTGCTACGATACAGAATTAAGTAATTGTGGCTGAAACCTCATGGCTTGCAAAGCCTCAAATATTAATCATCTGGTCCCTTGCATACAAAAATTGCTAACTCCTTAACATAGAAGACAAAAAGGTTTAGGGCTCTGATGAATTCCAGGTCTCTACAAAGACAACTGGGTAAATATGTTATGGCATCCACTGGAAATAAACTCATGGAAATATTTTAGGAAGTCCTACATTGTTCTGACATATCATTGGAGAAACAAAACTATAAAATAAAAAAGGCACTAGTGACATTATTAGTCACTGCCCCAGAACAGTTGATATTTGCTTCATTGAAGATAGGAAGGGAGGGGGTAAACCAGGATATACCTTCCCCAAATGCGAACAAAGCACTTCCAGTCTAATTGTAATTTCCTTATGTTCTTTCTCCTTCCTTTCTTTCTTCTTTTTCTGAGACAGGGTCTGGCTTTGTCACCTGGGTTAGGGTGCAGTGGCGAGATCATGGTTCACTTCAGCCTCAACCTTCCTGGTTCAAGGGATCCTTCCCCCTCAGTCCCCCTCAGTCCCCCTCAGCCTACTGGCACAGGCTGCAATAGCTGACTAAGTTTTGTATTTTTTTTAGTAACAGGGTATTTACTTTTTCTCTTTCTTTTTTTTTTTTTTGAAAAGGAGTCTCAATCTGTGGCCAGCCGGAATGCAGTGGTGCAGTCTCAGCTCACTGCAACCTCCACCTCCCGGATTCAAGAGACTATCCTGCCTCAGCCTCCCAAGTAGCTTTGACTGTACAGGTGCACACCACCATACCCAGCTAATTTTTGTATTTTTAGCAAAGAATAAGTTTTACCATGTTGACCAGGATGTTCTCTATCTCTTGACTTTATGATCCACGTGTCTTGGCCTCCCAAAGTGCTGGGACTATGAGTGTGAACCACTGCACCCAGCCCAGTCTAATGATAATTTTCTAAAGTGTGAGAGGTCATTCACTTCTAAGTCTGTGAACACATTAATATTTCTTCTCCCTGTTACTCTAGTGTAAAGCAGCACTTCTCAGCCTGTCCTACTACGTATCTCCAGTGACAGAGAGGGCCGCACAGATCCTAGGCCTGGAACATGGCCAGAAGCGATGCACAGCAGGCTCAAAATTTTTTGAAATCTCATGTTTAATATTTAAAATATTTTTAAAATTGGGATTCTATTCTGTAATAATTTTGTTTTAATATAAAACCATTTTAAAATAAAAATTGATGTCCAGTAAAGATCTATGTAAAACTCGATGGCTTTGTGCATTACCAAGTAAGTACAGGAGGGCTATGGCACTGGCATATTGGAACTATGTTTTGCTACACAATGCTAGAAAAATGAATGTAACTTGTTATTCAGAGAAATCAGAGAGAGACTAGAATCACAGACCCAAACACAAGTTAAAGAAACTATTTTTGTCACAATCAGGAAGTTCTACAATTACTTCTAAGGCCTTGTCTTGAAATTCATAGTAACCAAAAATTGTATCTGGATTATCCCAAACTGTCTGCTGTATCTTTGACTAAGGGCTTCTGACTGCATAACCACCCACAACCCTAAAGAACAATGACAAATACAAATGCACTGGATCAGCCTGCCACTAAACAGCCAAGGTCATGCTCTGCCACTATCATGGACATGCTAATATTAAAGTAAACTCTGTTCCATCTCTGTGGTAAACTGTGTCACACAATTATTCAAGACGTGAGATGTGTATCTTAAATTTTCTATGGAGATATAGTGTACTAAAGAAACTGCCAGAGAGGCTAAAGCTATTAAAAAAAATAAGCATGAGTTGCTATGGCCACAAAAACTTCCATTTGCAGACAAACTGCATTGGCTGAAGGTGACCATGGCATTATCTTGGTAGCTGGGATTTCTTACCTTAAAAGGAAGGATAGAAAGCATCATTACTTTGTCAAAGGCGCATTCTTTTCTGTGAGAGTGAATTAAGAGAGCTTGAGCAAGACTCCATATGAGTTTTGCAGAAGGAATTTGTGATTCTGATAAACAGTTTAAAGTGGTTCATAGAGTTTGTCCTTCCATCTCAGATTTAAGATACTAAAATGAAGTCATGGGCCACTTATCCACCACATGCAGATTTCCAGGCACATTGCTTTTGACCATCATCAATTGAATTTCAGGACTTTGTGGGTAGAGCCTACCTGGATTGTCACCATCATAACTTATCTTTTTGAAGCAAATAATTAGCCACCTGAGACAATGCTACTGACTTATGGACACTGTGAAGACAATTATTAGAAGTTTGTGCTATGTCTCTCTATATGTGAAATTAAAAAAATAATTTTACGGGGATTCATATAAGCAAATACCTTGGTTAACTTTCTCCAGATTTATGGGAGCCTGGGTGTACAAGACAGGAACATATCTTATTTGCTGCTTTATTCACTAATTTTGCCTATTTCAATTACAAACAAGAGGTTTTGCTAAGAACTATGGAACTACAAAGGTTTGTGCCACTATCGTTAAAATCAAATTCTCTGCTGCAATTTTTCCTCAGGAAAATAATTTTCTAGATGAAAGAGCTCAAGAAAGAGGTGAGATTTGTCCTGACTGAGTCAGGAAAAGACAAAATAGCACATTACTCATGCCAACAAGAAGCTACAGAAAATAAGAAGGCCCCTTAGAAGAAGCCCGCTGCAGTCTCTCAACCAAGATTCAGTGGTCTGGCTGTGGGAGCAGTCTAACTTTAGGAGCAATGAAGGTCCTAGGACCTAGAGAGAAAAGTAATCTTTGATATAGAAGTTAGTAAGAAATTATTTAGGCAGCTACTAAGGGTAAAAGAGTTCTCAGTGGAATTTTCTTTAATAAAAATCAGCCCCCAGATCATTTCTTTTCTAATAAAAAGCAGCCTGAAAAATCAAGCTGCAAGCATAGATAAGCAAGCTGGAAACTTGCATAGGTAAACGCTGGCAGCTGTACTTGGAAGCCAGGCACATGCAACATGGAGGGTATCTCCTCCCTTCTCTTTGTCACTACACGTATGGGTGTCCAGGCGCCAGGCCAGGTAAACTCCATTTACATATAAAAGGTTCGTGGGCTATGTAAATGACACACTTGGTGAAACCAATCCCCTATACCTTATGTAAATCAAACACCATCTCCTCAAGCCCTTCTATGAAATAGACCACATCTTGCCCCAATCCTGGAAACCCTCTTGAGTGTTTTGCTTCCTCTGCACGAAGAAGCTTTCTCTCTCTCTCTCTTCTTTCTTTCGCCTATTAAACTTTACATTCTTAAATCCACTCTGTGTGTGTATCCCCGTGTCCTTAATCTTCTTGTCACCAGATGAGGAACTTTGGGTTTTTCCCTAGACAACAAGGCTACCTCATTTTCACAGAGTATCAGAGTAGCCTCTTCATATGCTGAATACATGTTGAATGAACAAATTACTTAATCTAACAGACCATCCTAGCCATTCACAAAACATGAAAGAATATGATTGTGGTTTTGATGTTTGCATGGACGTGCATTGGGGAATATGAGATTGAGTCCCGCCCAGAAGCAAAGCTACTCTCCCTCTAAAAAGCATGAGAAATGCACAGAAAAGTACCTACTGTATATGAGGAACAAAGCTCATCTAATCTTGAAAAACAAGATTTTACAGAGAAATAAATTAGGACTCCCCAAAACTCATTCATTCACCAGTTACTTACTGAGTGCTTATTAGGTGACAACAGCAAAGGCCTTGCTCTCATGGAGCTTACATTTTAACTGATAGAAACTGCTAGGAAAAAAACATATAAAGAACATACCCAGCTCTGATCAGTGCTTTGAAGAAGAATGAAGAAGAAGGAGTAGAGACTGGAAGGGAGGAGAAAGGATGTCAAGGAAGGCTTCTTTGATATGGTGATTTTTGGAGAGGTTGTAAATATTTTCTCCAAAGCAGTAAGAAAGTGGCTGACTTAGGATAGCAAATCAGTATCACCTGACACCAAAGTTGTGAACTTTGGGCTTCATTGCTGATAATTGAATTTGTATTTCCTGAACATCCTTGACTGCCTTGCAAAGATCCAGCTGAGCTCTTAAGATCTGACCATCTCCAAAAGGAGCCATTCCTGGCCTCCCTCCTGCCCAGGCATGGATCTGTTTCCAGATTGCAGAGGAACATTCAGGCACCACCATAGTGGTCCTTGATTACAGGTCAAGCTGTGGCATTCAGCAGCTATCCAGTAAACGTCATTCTCTGCTACAGTTCCTGTTGCAATGTAACAGAGAATTAACATAGCAGCAATGGCCTTTTGACACAGTAAATTTGAATTTAAATGGCATAAAATAAAGCTTTGTCTAGCCCTTCCTTTGAAAGTACAACAATCTCCTAAAACTTTTTTGATGGACTGAAATCACACTTTCCTCCTGCAACAAACAGGAAAAACATTCATTCATTAATATAATGATAATTGGATCTTCTATCTCATTCCAGGAAAGCCACTTTTGCCAATGGTCAGCCAGCAAATGGACATTTTGGTCTATTATAATTAGGGACAGATGATAATTATGCATTAGTCAAATGAATTATTTTTGACATCCAGTTGATAATGTAAAACAATTCCATTCAATATGTTGATGTATTCATTATTTAAGAGTGGATTTGGAGGCCAGTTTATTTTAGTGGATGCATCAGGATAAAACCTGATGCATCCATGCAAGTTCACATGCAAAATGAAACGTTCCTGGGATGTTTCCTGGAGAAGCAGTGACTGTCTAGTGCCTAGGCTAAAAATCTCACTGACTAAGGTTATTTAGTTCATACTTTAAAATGCAGAATCTTGGGGTTTCAGTGAAGTACTTGTTTGAATATTGGATGAATCTAAAGCTTCTATTTCAGAAAGGTTTGACTATCAGCAGTTATAAGGTAAAAGAATTAACCTTCATAAATGTTTATGCAAATAAACAAAGCTGGAATGAAACTTCGAAATTATAGATTTAAAATATCAGATTTTGCAGTGTATAAAAATTTGGTAAGTTTTCCCAATAAGTTATTTACATATATACCAGCTAATACCCAATTTACAAGCTGGTTGTGTTCCCAAGTTATATCTGTAAATTGATACAAAGTCAATATGCATTTCCAAAAAAACAATGGTGTTTCAAACATAGAAATTAGCTTATTTAATATTTATTTAATCCATGTTGAGACTAGGTTACCTTGTTTAATTTATATTGAGACTAAAATAATTTTTTCTTGTAATTTTCAAAGTTTATAATATATGCCATTTGGGGTTTTGTATCAAATGATATATTACTGTATTCATCCATTTTCAAACTGCTAATAAAGATATACCCGAGACTAGGTAATTTATAAAGGAAAGTAGTTTAATTGACTCACAGTTCAGCATGGCTGGGAGGGCTTAGGAAACTTACAATCATGGCAGAAGGAGAAGCAACCATGTTTCTTCACATGGCAGTAGCAAAGAGAAGTGCAGAGCTAAGTGGGGGAAAGCTCCTTATAAAACCATTAGATCTCATGGGAACTCACTCACTCTCTTAAGAACGGGATGGAGGTAACTGCCCCCAAGATTCATTACCTCCCACTGTGTTCCTCCTACAACTCCTGGGGATTATGGGGACCGTAATTCAAGATGAGATTTGGGTGGATATACAAGCAAACCATATCAATTTCTAACAGGCTCTAGGGTCAAATTGCCAGAAGATGGATCCTAGCTTCTAGCTACCAGCAATATGACCTTGGGCAAGCACTTATCTTCCTGTGCCTCAGTGTCTATGACTGTAAAATGAGGAAAATAATCACATCTATTTAGAGATTCCAAGCTCCAATGGTCATAGGCCCAGTGCCTGGTGTATGTAAATAGTCAATAAATGATTAAAATTGCCCAAAGCATATAAACTCATAGACCACTGTAATCTTCCTCCTATTGCAATACTACCATGAGAAATTAGAATCAGGAGGGGGCTCCTATAGTGTTTTTAATGAACCAATGTAAGGACCTAAACATCAATTTGTTTTTGGCAAAGTAGCCTCTCTGTGAGAAGGGAGCATGTAATCCAAGAATCTGGGAACGTGGTTTCCTTCTCTCCTGCTTCCCTCTGGAAGGCAGTATGAAAACCACCAGCAGTAAATGGTGAATGGGCTGCAAAGGATCCCCCAGCCCCTTCCAGTCATGCAGGATTAAGTGACAGGCCATCCCAAGTCCTGTTGTCTGCGCCAGAGGAGATCTTCTGCAGTGACCTTGTGTCTATTTCAGGTCTGCCCAGCATCTATCACCCATGGGCTCCTTGCTGGCTCCCAGCTCTTGGAGATGAGCTCTTGCTGTCTCCATCTGCCTCCAGCCAACAGTGGGACCTCCTGCTACCATCACCACCACCACCAACCCATTCATTTCACTCAGCCAAGTTGTGGATCCAGGGCAGAGGGAGAGTACAAAGGGGCTGCGAGTACAGTGGTTGGGAGGAGGAGGAGGAGGAGGAGATTCTGAGAAAGGTGGACGATTTGTGCAGGTACTTGTTTCCCCTTCCAGAACTACCCCCCGCCTCAGTTATATGGACCTTCTTAGTCCTTTGGAGCATATCCTTCTTCTTTCCCAACTTTTTCTTTCTTAGCTTCCTCCTTGAGAAATTGCCATAGTATATGAGCAAGGAGAAAGCGTCTTGGCTTGAGGGAGCCAATTCACACTCATGTGTCTCATGGGAGCTCCCCTCTCCCAAGGATGGCCTGAGGGAACCTTTAAGAAGTTAGTTCAGGGGAGACAAGATAGATAATAAGTAGATGATGTTACATAGTCTCCCTAGAGAGAGAGAGAAAGAGAGTTTACGCACTCATTGTGTTTTTGTAGAGGAAACAGAAAGCCCATCGGGTTGAGTATCTATTGCTTTTCCTCCAAAAATGGCACAAATCTTTGACAAAATGTTATTATATGTGTCACACACTTATTGAGAGAAAGTGAAAGTGAGAACCTTGCTTAAGCAGCAAAAAACAACCCTCGGATGCCTGTTGATCTGTGTGGAGGGTGAGCATAAGGGAATGTTGGTTCTTATGCCAAGACCTGTGAATTATAAGGACAAGAAACAGTCTAGTAGGTTTGAGAGATGAAAATAATAACTTGGTTGAGTCAGCCACCTGCCCTTGTGGTTATAAAGCAGAGTTTTTCAAGCTCTGCCTATGATATGGGAAAGGGACTGAGTGGTGTGACATACGGACAGGGAAGAGGATCAGGAAAGGAGAAATAAACTGTGCTGATGAATTTCCTGCTGCTCATCTTCACTGTGTATCTGTAAACCCAGCCTGTGCTCTAAAGATGAAACTTTCTTTATTTACAGAACAGATTATCTGCAATACTTGGATGTCTGGAAGGAGCACATTGTCAATGATCAGGTTTTTCTGGATAGAATGTAGATTCGGAACATATTTTTTATTTAATCATTATTTCTAAATTTAATTTCATATTGCAACGTCTTAACTACCACTAATATCCTTGTCCTGGCTCTCCTGTGACCAGTGGCTGTTTGTGCACCATGGACGCCTTCGGCAACCTGAGGCTAAGCTAATCACTGGGTGGCACCCAAGAGCCAGAAAAAAGGATGGATTAAATTGCAGACACTCTCTAATACACATATTTTAACAATTTCCTCTGTCCTCAGTGAAATTATGCTAATATTTTAGTTGAGTTTCCTCAAGTCTGGAACTCAAATTAAGTCTGTCTGTTTCATTTTTATGATAGTGCTTGAAATCACTTGCAGACAAGGGGTTGTTGGGCCATGAGATTTATAGTGGCAATGCCACAAAGGTCAAACACATCCTGAGGAAGAGGAAAGCAATCTGTAGAACCAGTGTTTTCACTGCAATAAAGTTTATGGCAGCATTAAGGGAGTAGTTACAAATCAGTCAGATGGTGTTGATTTCATTGAGAATAAGTATATTTACACTTGTAAGCTTTCTCTTAATAATATTCTGAATGTTTTACACAATGGGGTTAGTGAAGGTTGGATCTGGGCATATTTCACGAGTGACAAAATTTGTTTTTCTTTTTTCCACCCATCCTCCTACTGGCTATTTTCAAAAAATAGGTTTATAATGGCTCTGTAGGGGCTGAGTAAAGGTTCAGCAATTTTCTGACATTTCCAACAAGGTCAAAGATGCTGCAGAAACTAAAAGTAAAGTGATTGTGTATAGACAAGTGATTAAAGATGAGAGGAATCTAAAGAAATAAAGATGTCCCTAATACTAAAAGGTGCTTCCTTCTAGGTAATTAGTTCTTCATATTGCAGCTAATTTTGTATTATTAGAATTTCCGATTGAATGTTCAATTCCTGTATTAAAGGAGTAAGACATAAATATCCCAACCTATATAAGATCTACAATACATAATATTTATGCTTAACCCAATCTACTTCATAGCACTAAACACTATTACTTTTTCAAAACTATGTAAAATAATTTTGTGATTATGCTATTGTTTGAATTAATTGGGTAATTATTTTGCCTATTATTTATTTCCTTATTTACCATCTTGTCCACTAGATTATAGGCCACACAAGGACAGACACCTTGCCTTATTCCTGGTCCTATTCCGAGGGCCTACTGTATGATTACACAATGGAGTTAGTGAAGGTTGGATCTGAACATATTTCACAATTGACAAAAATTGTTTTTCTTTTTTCCACCTTAAAAATATTTATTGCATGACTGAATAAATGTTTCTACCATTCTCAAATTCTTCTACATAGTGAAAACACTTTCTCACTAAGTCAGGTCTACACAAAGTAAATGTTTTCTAAGGCTATTAGTTTCTAGAACCTTCTATTTCTGTCTCATGTTTTTTGTTTCTGAGGAACTGGCGTGGCTCTGTCTAACAAATATGGAGGAAAAGGAAGAGTCAGAACTTATCCATGTCCTATAAATGAGAAAACTGGGACTTGAGTCTATAAATCTGGTAAGTATAATTTGTTGACAAGAAATCATACAGCATGTCCTGAAAAAATTTTCTTTGAATGAGAGCACAGTTGACTTTGTGCAAACTATGAAAATCTGTGGGGCTTTTTGTGGACACATTTTCTTTTCCCACAATGTCTCATGTATGTTTGTTGGTGTTTAAATATTTTGTATCATCTATCTCAATAAAATCTAACTCAACCATTTTAAGACCATATGAAGTTTTTTCCACTTAAAAAACAAGCAGACCATAGAATGATACATTAAATCATTCATTTTATTTGGCCATTAATAAGTTTGACCGACCATTTATACAGTTTTATTCTCTTTTCAAACACATTTTTCTGGGTTTTATTTCTGATTCTAAAAATAAAACATATTGTTCTATTCAAAACTATAGTAAAGCATAGAAGAAAAAAACTAAAATTATGTTTCTATCCTTTTTCCAGTCAGGTAAGTGTATATATTTTACCTGGAGGCAATTGTGCTACCTATTTACCTGGAGGAGATTGCATGTATCTTAATGAAGACTACATTGGTTGTTCATCAGTGTAACATTTCATTGGTTATTCAATAACTGACGACCATGATGACTTAGAGATCCATGGGAATGATCTGTATCGGTCTGTTATCAAACCATTGCAGAAGCAATAAATAATCACACAACTTCAATTTTTTCTTTAATTGTAAAGATGATTTACTGTGGATATTAACATGTTCATATGTAGTTATGGGTGTACTTGAAGGGGAAAATTCAAATGGGTTAAACAAGGTTGTACTATTAATATTACAAATACAATTAAGCATTTAAAGTTTTTAAAGACATAAAGGAAAATATTCCTGCATAATAGCAATATTACTTTTATTGTCAGTAAAGAGAATATTAATTATATTTTTAGGGGAAGGTGCATGGACTCTTATTGCAGATAATTTATTTTAGAAGAAAATTTTTTACAGCAGATTTCAGGGATTATTCAATAGAGCTAACACTAATACAGATTCTAGAACACAGATTCCCATAGAATTATTTCAGAAAGAATTGTGTTAACACAAACTTCAATTAACTGATTTGTATTACTTTTCATTCTAGGAACAAAATGTCTTAGAGAAGTTCTATGATGTAAAATAAGCATAAGTCAAGTTTCATCCCCATGAACTGTGTAGGCCAACCCCTTGGGGTTAGTCCCATGGAACATGATGTCGAAGGAGCAGGGTGGTTTCTGAGGCATACATGTGCATGTGTCTGGGGCTGCAAAGATACATGAAACTCATCTCATCACCTGATGACCCAAAGTCCTTCTTGGTCACCACCTATATTACCATAATATGAAGTGGAATAGAGGGGATAGATGAGCTTTGGAGTAGGACCTTCACATCTGCTATGAGCTGAATTACCACCTCCCCACCCACCAACCTTCAGATTTATCTGTTGAAGTCCTAACTCCCAGTACTATAGAATACGACTCTATTTGGAGATAGGGTTTAAAAATAGAAAATTAAGTTAAAAAGAGGTCATTAGGGTGGGTTCTAGCACAAGAAGCCTGGTATTCTTATAATAAGACAGAATTAGAACACCGGCAAATACAAAGTGAAGACAGAGAGAAAATGGTCATCTGCAAGCCAAGGAGAGATGCCTCAGAAGAAAGCAGCCCTGCCAACACCTCAGTCTTGCACTTCCAGCCTCCAGAGCTGTGAGAAGTTGATATCTGGTTGCTTAAGGCACCCCGTCTGTGGTACTTTGTTATGACAGTCCTGGCTACCTGATATGTCATCTAATTTATTTCAAAGAATGGCATGGTATGGAAGTGGCTGGACACAGAATGTGGCTGGCATCAGAGGCATCAAATGCTGCTTTGCCTACATGATTAAAATCCCTCAATACATGTGCCTTCCTCACTGCTTTACCCTTAGACATAGCTAGCAGGAGGCCTGATAAGTACAAAAATGTGAAGAGGAGCCACGCCTTCCCATTTTCTGCTGCAACCCTCTGCTTTGCGGGAGGAAACTAAAGGCCTGGGACATGAGATTAAGGGTATGGTGATGTGGACAGGAAGCAGCATGGGGGTTTGAACAGGTCAGGAAAGTGCTAGAATGTGGAAACTCCAGAAGGAGAGAAGATCCATGGAGGGTTGTCCGGAAGGAGCTGAGAGCCAGAAGGAAGAGGGGCCAGGAAGGACACACTGCAGGGCTCCAGGCAGGGGCTTTCTGGCTCCCCACCTTCTGCTGTAGCCTGAAAGCCAAGCTCACCTTGAAACCTTAAGGTGCTAAGCAAAATGATTAAAAGATAAAACAAATTTGAATCTGGTAAGAGTGGCTGACTCCTAATTCTTAAAAACGCTCATGTGTGTGGTGTGTTTTGTATATGCCAATTTTGTGTATAGGGCATGTAGTAATTGGAAGTTATCAACTAAGTTGAAGAGAGAGGAAAGCAAGATGTTTGCAGCAAGTTTTACTGCACTCAGTGCTAGAAAATGATCTCTACAGACATGTCCGACACTACCTTGCTGTGTGTCCTTGGATAAAGTGCTTAATATATCATCACTTTCTGTTTCTGAGGTTCTGCATCTAAAATCTAGAATGAAGAAAAAGGAGAATGTCGGCTGATCTGCTTTTAGAACTAGCTGAGTAGGCACTTGAGTGACAGTACTGAAATGAAATGCTCCTGCTTGCCCCTAGAATGTGAGGTCCCTGAGGGCAGGATCACTTGTGCATTCACTTCTGCAGGGGATGGCAGCAGGTGGCCCCACGGGTTCCGAAGATACAGTCTCAGAGCATGCATAATTCTGAAATCTGAACTTTGGGTTCCATATCATCATGAAACCTTTCTGGGTTTTCTTGCTCTGGTACAAGTTAAAAATGATTCTTAGTGAAGGTGCAGGCAAGAAACTATTCTATGTGTCATTTCAGCAAGCACTGACCATTCTTGGGGCTGTTCCTCATGTAAAGCATCAAAGATATGAAGAGGAATAAGAACGTTGTTTACATGCTAATGGAGGAAATGGCTATCAGTCACAGCTAAATATATTTCAGTGTTGCACCTCCTATATTGTATGAGCAATGTTAAGTGAAACAGGGGAAAAGGGATAGCTCTGCTGGGTTGTTGAACAACATGGGGGAGGGAGGTTGAATAAGGCCTTTCCATGACTGTCTTTGGGCAGTGTTTAAAAATGGCTGCATAGAGCCTTGTTAGGACGAGTGGAGAGGACATTGAGACAGAGAGCAGCATGAGCTGAAGCAGGGGAGAAAGCTGAGGGGGGTGAAAAATATGCCATATTCTGAGAAAACTGCAAATAGTCAGGGTTGTTTAGAGTACATATTTTCGGAGGCGAATAGTTATCAGCCAGTGGATGGGAAAAGGCTCACCAATATGACCAGTGGAGTGAATAAAAGCACACCCTACAAAATGTTAGAAAATCAGGACATTTCAAGATTCAGTAACCATCTTTCTGCCCTTTTTTTTTTTTTTTTTTTTTTGAGACAGAGTCTTGCTCTGTGCCCCAGACTGGAGTGCAGTGGCACGATCTTGGCTCTCTTTAACCTCCATCTGCTGGGTTCAAGCGATTCTCCTGCCTTAGCCTCCTGAGTTGCTGTGACTACAGGCATGCACTATCACACCCAGCTAATTTTAGTAGAGACAGGGTTTCACCATGTTGGCCAGGATGGTCTCGATCTCTTGACCTCATGATCTGCCCGCCTTAGCCTCCTGAAGTGCTGGGATTACAGGCATGAGCTACCATACCCGGCCTCTTTCTGACTTTTCCTAATGTAAAGCAGGGGAATTGGAAACATCAGACCCTCTCCTTCCAGCAGGGCAAGGCTAGGTGGAGCTGAGTAGCAGCACCCTTTAGACTGTGGACCTACCCAGTTCTCCACAGCCATCACCCAAACAAGCATGTGTTCATGTCCCTGGACCACTTGCCAGATAACACCCATGGGTGTTACCTGGCAAGACCACCAGTCTGCAGATTTGCCATGTGTGGTGCAGGGTGGGGATAAACAGAGGCAGATGGGGCAAAGAGTTACATTGGAAAGCTAAGTCAGAGCCAGATTTGAGCTTTATTCTGTGCTCTGTGCAGCCCCATCAAAGGTCTTTCCAAGTGTGAGAGTGACATGAACAAAAATCATTCCCAACCATTGAAGGACAACCTCTTTCCTTAAGCTGGGCAGTTGGGTATTTCCTTTACCTTACCAGACTAAGCAAGCACTTGTGGAGCATACACAGCATCAGCAACGTACTGGATAGTGTCCATGCTTTGGGGTTGTTTTGGAGTATTTGCAGGAGTAACAGGCTGGAAGTTACCATACATTTAAAAAGGAATAAAACACCATAATTTTCCACATAATCCAATCCTTGTCATAATTTAATTATCATAAGAAAAGTTTTATCTTGACAAATGTATTTGAGCAAGAAATATTGTTTTCAAAAAGGAAATAAAACATAAAAATATGTACTAAAATAATTTAAAATTTAATAGTGTGTCAAGGTCCTTTTTTAATGCTACAAAGAACACTATTTTGTGCTCAGAGCATCAGGATTATTTTCTCAACTTATAGGGTACTCTTGGCCAAATTTGACCTCAAATACACATGGGTTACAATTGTGATGTGTAGAGAGAAGAGATAAAGGCCATAGTTGGAAAACTTGCAGAAGTCAGAGTAGGAATCAAGAGGCCAGGATTCTCTGTTCATGGCCATTTTTGTATGATTTCTGAACTCTCAACTCTGTTCAGTCCTGGGGAATTCACCTACAGTTGGCTTCTTCACCTTCAAAATGAAGATAATGTACTTAAAAATACATTCCACACATCTCCGCCTCACGTTGCAGTTCTGACCCAGGATTTTCAAGTTTACCAAGTGAAAAAACTCATTGATATGTGTGTTTCAGAGAAAAAAACAAAGGAGAAAAAAAAGTAAAAGGAAAGGAAAAACTTGTTGGGGTGAGCAGACACCACAGGGAGTAACCCCAGTTTTTCCTGAGGAAATTTCCTCACAGTGAAAAAACTAAGATGATGAAAAAATCAAATGAAAGGTAGGGAAGCCGAAAGCCGGGGCAGGTGAGTATATCCAGGCTTCCCCAATTAAGGCTTCCTTATCTGCCCAGCAAGTGGGCAGTGCCCAAGTAACCTGTAGCTAGCTGCCTGGTACCTCGACAAGCAATTTGAATGATAAGACATGTTAGCAACTATGGAATGTTATTGCCAGGCACATACCCTGTAAAATAAACTTTAGAATTATTCAATGGATAGACATCCCAATTAGAGGTCCCAATACTGAAATACCTGAGATTTAAACAGGTGATAGAATTGGGTAATGCTAAATAACTTTTGGAGAAGTCTCCGCTGCCTGCTAGATGTTGACTTCTAAAAAAATGTGTAAGAAAGATGGCTTTGGTTCTTTCCAAGAATGAAATACAGTGTGTTGAAAATTGCTTCAGCCAATTGCAAGAACACCCATAAATTTTTCCATGGTGTCTCCCTTATTGGACTGTCAACAGTAATAACACTTCATATTCAAGATATATTCCCCCTTTGTTGAATTTATCAATTTAGTAGTTTCCCTTTCCCAATTATAGATGAAGTGTGAATGAAATAAGGAAGGCAGTTTTCAGAAAAATCAATAAGGAAGAAGTACTCATTATTTCAGTTATGCTGCTTTGTAAATAACTATGTGATTTTTAAATCTACAAAAAAGTCACGAAGAAATAGCAACTTGTATTTTGTGAGCAATAATTTCCTATAGCATCAGAGAGATAGGAAGCCATTTTATCAGTATCTTCTAATGTCTTACTAGAAATTTTGCATGAATTTTCTGATACAGGCATTTATTTGGGCATGTTTCTCAAAAATATAAGCTTTGATAGGCCAAAGTTTATGTTTATCTTATCTTCCACTGTGTCTTGCCTGTACTTTATACTAATAGTTTTGAATAAATAACTTAAAAATGCTTAATGTAGACCTTTTTACAATGCTTTTATTCATTTTTTATACAAATCATGCATTTATATTTTGTTATGAAAGTACTAAAACCATGATGGAATTTTTTATCCCTTCTGCTCTATCCATTGGTCAAGTCCTACGTGGCCTTTGCTTACAACTAAACTCAAAGGAGAAATGTTACATTCCACTGATTTGTTAATGTATGAAATGCAAAACTGCATCACCAGAATTCACAACTTCTAAATTTGTAAATGATTTACAATAAATAAATTAATTGCCTAGACTTCTAAGTGTGTCTCATGAGCTGTTTGAGTGTAGCTTCTTTAGTTTGCTGTCCCCCAAGTTTTCATTTTTATGCTAAGCAAAAAGCTATGTTGAAAAGACTCCTAATTTCTCATTTTCTGTACTTTCTATGTAATTTCTTGCTAAGGCTATTCATTTTTCCACTTGGATTTGTTCCTTCTTTATTTTCTTGTGAAGAAGAAAGGGTCCCACGTCACAGTCATCAATCAACCCCTATCACCAACACTTCTGTACCCTGAATGGATGTTCTGAGGACCACAGTGCCATGCTGATTTCACTCCATTTTATACTACCATTTTCAATATGCCCCAGTCCATTATTCACGCCGCAGGCTTCAATTTTCCCAAAACTTTGCGCAGGTTCTTTTTTGTTTTTAATGGACCCATCCCCAAATGCCAAATCACTCATGTATTCATTTACTAAGTACATTGTTTTAACAGAGTCTCAACTTGCTGAATACTACTGTCTTGGCAGATATTTCCGTAACTAAATCCAACATATCATTTGTTTTTTATTTACATGCTTATGCTTCTTCTTCTTGCTCCCAAAAGAATCTAACATAGCTTACATAAACATCAGATAAAAACAAGTAAAAAAGAAAAAAAAGCAGTTTATCCAGAAAATGCATGATCTGTATACATTTGATAAAGTAGGAGCACAGATTTGATTCTAAGTTTTTCAGTGTCCAAACAGAAAGCCAAGAAGAAAGATACATGTACCTATAGGATTCACAATGTGTATAAGATTAAACTTGGAGAATAATCAAAATCTGTTGCTCAGGAGTAGGACGATTATTTCCAAAGTGAGATCAGAAAGCTATTTCTTCTGTAAGTCCTTCCCAAGAGAACACATGTGCTATAACACCAATGCTCTCAACAACATCCTCACAATAATGGAGCAGCTGCTTTCAATAGGGCTGTTTCCAGGAAAGCACCTCAATGTTTGAGAACTGTCTAACACAGTTAGAATATGGGGATTGAATTTGGTTAACTAGGTACGTTTTCAAAACTTATTATAGGCACAGCTTACCAGTGATAATGATAGCAAGGACAATTACAGCTGTTGGAGTATTTATTATACATGGTACAATGCACAGCACTTTATGTACATTGTTATTTAATCCTTACAGTAACCACTTGAAGTAGACATAATCCCATTACACAAGTAAAATTTAAAGTGTTTAAGGAGCTCCATAATGAATACTCAGTAATATTGGTCAACAAACCAAACGCTGCCACCACTTTAGAACCCTCTCAAGCCTGATCCATCAGTCCTCTCTTCCTCAAAGTAACCACTCTCCTGACTTCTAGCATAATGAATTTGTCTGCCTGTGTTAAATTTAATTTAAATGAGGCCAGGCATGGTGGCTCACACCTGTAATTCCAGCACTTTGGAAGGCTGAGGCGGGTGAATCACTTGAGGCCAGGAGTTCAAGACTAGCCTGGCCAACATGGTGAAACCCCCATATCTACTGAAAATACAAAACTTAGTTTGGTGTTGTGGTGGTTACCAGTAGTCCCAGCTACTGGGGAGGCTGAAGTGGGAGAATAATTTGAACCTGAAAGGTGGAGATTGCAGTGACCCAAGATTGTGGCTCTGCACTCCAGTCCGGATGACAGAATGAGACTCCATCTCAAAAAAAAAAAAAAAAAAAAAAAAAAACAACTTAATATAAATGAAATCATATGGGATATTATTTGATGTCTGGTATCTTTCACTCAAAATTGTCTGTGGAATTCATTCATGTTGCTGTGGACAGTTTTAGTTTGCTAATTTTCATTGTTGTGTAGTTTTCCATTCTACGAGTGTACCACGTTTACCATTGTATATGGTCAATGAATGTTTTTGTTTACAGTTTTTTTTTACTATTATGCATATTGCTGTAAGGTTTTTTTCATATCTAGTTCTCAGGGCACACGGGTACACATTGTTGCAGTAAATACAATACTCCACTTCGGAGTAGAATTGTTAGAACATAAATATGAACGTCTTCAGTTCTAGTAGATAAAGCTACGCTTTCTGTGTGGTTGTTTTCTGTTCCTTTCTCCTCATAATTTCCTATTTCACCTACATCAGAAAAATAGCTCAAATCAATCAAAGCCATTTACTAATAAAATAAACCCTACAAAAGCTTTTTATTTCTAAACAAAATTGCAGCAAATAATGACTAAATTTTCTTTGAAATATTTAGTACCCAAAAGAAGTATGAGTGAAGTTTTATTCTATTTTAATTATAGGATGTGGTAAATGAGCGACTGCATGCCTATTGCTGTAGGCAGGAAGCCCTTTCAAGGACTCCTTGACACCACCTATCAGACCAAAGCACTAAGATTTCTTTGAACTTGAATTTTAAGTGCCCTGAAATACTGTAATCTTAATTAGCTATGACACATAAATTACTTCATTTTACACCCACGACCATTAGTATTCAGAATTCCCAGCCAAAGTTTCTAAGTTCTCAGATTAATGTTTATGCCAGAAAAGCTATTATTACCCTGGGAAGGAA